GTACGTAATTGGCTTATCTTTTCCAATCTCACCTTGTGATAACACCGCTCCAATAGCTGTGTCGGAAGCATCGGTTGTTAGGATGAACGGCTTCTCGAAATTTGGAAATATTAGGACTTCTGAAGATATAAGTAATTCTTTCAGCCTGTTAAATGCCTTTAACTCTTCTGCATTCAATTTGATTCCAACTTTCTTAGATTGATTGGCCTTTATTTGTGCGTTTTCGCCTCTTGTTAAGCTCGTTAGTGGTTTCGCCACTTTTGCAAAATCTTGAATAAATCTGCGATAATATGATGTGAGTCCCAAGAATGATTTTAGGTCCTTCAAATTTGTCGGTGGCATGATGTTCTGAATGGCCGCCACTTTTCTGGGATCGGGTTTGATTCCTTCGCTTGTGACTATATATCCAAGAAATTCTGTCTCGGTGTTGAAGAATTTTGTTTTTTCCAGGTTGACCTTCAGGTTAGCTTTTTCCAATATGCTAAAAATCGTTTCAATGTTCCTTAAATGTTCCTCCTCCGTTTTTCCATATATGATAACGTCGTCGATGTATACGTAGCAGCTTTTGCCTACCTGATCCTTTAGAACATCATCTATCATGCGTTGGAATATTGAAGGCGCATTCCTCAGCCCGAATGGTAGTCTTAGGAATTCGTACTTTCCATTCATTGTTGAAAAAGCCGTCTTGGGAATGTCCTTTTTGTGCATCATGATTTGGTGGAATCCGGATGTGAGATCTAATGTTGTAAAGAATTTGGCCTGGCCTAGGCTTGTTAGTGTGCTTGTAATATCCGGTATAGGATATGTGTCTGGTACCGTTACTGCGTTAAGTCGTTTAAAGTCGATAACCATTCTATACTTCTTCACACCTGATGAGTCGGGTTTCTTGGCTACTACCCAGATCGGTGAGTTGTAAGGGCTTTTCGAAGGGCGGATAATTCCATCCTCTAGCAGCTTTTTGATTTGTTCCTCTACTTCCTTCCTCATATTGGCTGGGTATGGATATGACTTGGTGTATATGGGATCATCAGTAGTAGTTTTAATTTCTGCTTTCACTTGTGTGTCTATTATTTCCCTGTCGTTTATTGGGCCAAATATTTTCTCGTATTTCCTTATTATTCCCATAATTTTTTCTTGGATTGCCTTCGGTAAATGGTCTGCCCCGATTTCGATGGTGTTGACTTGAGCTGATGCCTTTGCCTTTAACGGAATTTTTATATCTGGCTTGATCCTTAAGGTGTTGTTCTTTCTGTCTATAATGGCTTCGAGCTTCTTAAGCGTGTCGTCTCCAATTATACCATCAAAGGTCTTCAATCCTGGCAAAACAAAAAATTCAATGAAGGTGTTGTTTCCCAGACTCCGAAAAAATCTTCCTCCGATCTTCTTGGTGATTGTTATATCTCCTCCAGCTGAACGTATCTTGAATGGTTTTGTTGTTGGTTTGGCATTTGTCGCGATCTCTTCTCTTACAAAATTTTTATTAGCTCCTGTGTCGACTAGAAATTTTAGGAGCTGGTTGTTTTTTGTCTTGAATTCTAAGTAAGGAACGCTTGAAAGGCGTCCGTCATAAAATTTACTTCTTGAACCTCATCATCTGCATATGCTGGTTCTTCGTCATATTTGCTGCATTCTTCTGGGTGGTCATCTACGTCGTCTTCAAGTGTTTCCATATTGAATAGCCTTTGGTGCTTATTGCTAGGCATGTTGCCTACTGATGGTGGCCTCTTGTATATTCCCCTGTAGTTGTCTGGCCGGTTCATATAATTAACCTGACGTGTTTGTATGGATCGGTCAACGTCCATCTTCTCTAACGGTTTTGGCGGTCTAGGTGGAGGTTGCGATTCTCTCTGATGTTGAATGTTGTAAGCCAAGTTCCGTTGTTCCACTGTTAATGGCTGTTCTGGTTGATACGACCTTGGGTTCCCAGCACTTGGTTGTTGTCGTTTCATGGACATTTTGTTGAATGGTACAGTGATTCTGTTGTTATCATTCCTGTTGTGTATAGCGAAGTTTCGGCAACTATAGTTCTGGAGCTCTAGACACGTTGAATATGCTTCTGGCAGAGTTGACGGTTTCTGAAGCATCAAGTACCTGGACAATTCCCCATTGAGCCCTCGGATAAATACGTCCAGTGCTCTGTTTCTTTGTGATTCTATCAATACGTCTATAGTTTCTTTTGTATAATTCTCGGTCTTGATCTTATTGATTATGAGGGAGAATTGATGGTTGACTCTGGCGTAGAATTCATCTATGGTTGATCTTCCCTGCGTCAGTGTGCTCATTTGGTGCTCCAATGTGCGTATGTCCCGTTTGTCGGCATAATGCAGGGACAAACACTGCTTGATTGCGGCCCATTCTTCGTCGAACAGGTTGTACGATATTAGAGCTGCATCTGCTCTACCTCTAATTTTTCCTCTAATAGCTTGTAATATTGCTCTGTATATGGGTTTGTTTCTGACAACTTCGTAATCTCGTAGAATTGATTCTACGCTGTGCACCCATGATACATACTGCACTGCATCGCCATCAAAGGTTTGTAAATCTTTGACACAGTCCGGAAGTCTCGATATTTGTTTCAGGTCGTCTTCACTTTTCGGTGCTGCCAAATTTGTTACCTGCGGTTGTGGTGTATTGAACTGAGCCTCTAGTTTTGCTAGGCGAATTTCAAACCGTTTGCTTTGTTCAATTTGAGCATTGATGGCTCCATTTAATTTTTTGAGCTCTTCCATTATTTGTTCCATTTTTAACTTTTTATTAAGGTAATTTCACTAATTAAATTATTCTATTACGCGGTTTTAAACTTTTAAATTATATTTTTCTTTCAAATTTTGTCGATTAATTTCAAATTTTTTGTTAAATTTAAGTTTTTAGTTGGTTAATCTTATTAATTTTTCACTGGTTTTATTTAAATTTCTGATTACTTTTGTTTTATTTTTTAATTAAATATTTCTTGGTAATATAAAATTTAATTGGTTAATCTTATTAATTTTTTACTGGTTTCATTTAAATTTTTAATTACTTTTGTTTTATTTTTTGTATTAAATATTTATTGGTTAAATTTTAATTTTTCAATTTATTATCGGTTAATTGATTAATTTTTCAAATTTTCAATTTAATTTTCATTTATCACTTCAATTTTTTTAAATCTTAATTTTTTTTTAAAATTAACGAAGCTTCTATATTTTTAAAGCTTATTCAGTGAGATGCAGTTAGTTTCCCTCAGTTAAGTTTTTAAGATTAAGTGTAATGAAAAACTACTTACAGGAAAAAAACGTAATTCATCTGTTTGAGTCTTGGTGAGTAATGCGAATAGCGGTTGAGTTGTGTTTGTCCTTTTTAGACGTGAACTTTTATTCTCGTAAACGTCCTACTGCGGCACAATCTTCAACACTTTTTTGTAAGTACGGTTTGCTTCAGTTCCTTTTTCTTTTTATTTCACTTCGGATTTCCACAATACGCGCACTATAGTTGGGTACACTTTTATCGCGATATGCTTATTTTTCTTCTTTTCTTTTAAAATTTAACGAAGAGTTTTGCGATTTCACGATTCAAGTCACGTTGGGCGCCAGTTATTAAACTATCTTGATTCGATTATAAAAAAATAATTTTATTTCACACAATGTCACAACTATTACTTAAAAATTAAATTTTACAATTACTTAAATTCGAATTGATAGTTTAATTATAATATTCTATTCTTATTAACACCAATTTTAGACTAAATTATATCTTAAAATCTAACAGTATTTATAGTAATTAAAATTAAGTTCATTTCCGGCCTCGTGCAAAATTATAGACGTTTCGTCAGCATTTTTGATGGGAACGATAATTTCGTAATTTCTTCATGTTTAAACATGTTCGATTGCAGACGCTGTGTCAGCAATTTTCATGTGAACAGAAATTAGTATCGTACTGAAGATGTAATTTGATACCACTTGAATATGTAACTAAAGACGGTGATAACTTTCATATATTTTTATTTAATTAAAAAAAATATGTTTTAGTTAAAATTTTCCGCATCCTGTCACATAATATGATTTCATTATCAAATTATTTAAGTTTATTCTTTATTATAAAAAGTTCATTTGAAAAGTAATCAAATTAAATTTTTAATAAATCAAAGCAAAAAGATAACGTTGTCATAGTCTTCTTAAATTGACAGTTTGAAAACTAATAAAATTTGTCTTCACATTATTTCCATTTCTATTTTATTTTTCAATTTTTTAGGACCCCATGAACATTTTGAAGAGCCTGATATTGAAAAAAAATAGGGATTGATGTATAGCGTAGAAAAAAAAACGAAGAAAACGATATGAGAAATTTGAATAGTGATATTTTATCTGAATTTCTATTTAAAATTTATAATTAAAAAAATTCCATAGATTTAATACAATATTAAGTTTTTCGGTGATTTTGAAATTTTTATTCTCACTTCTATAAGATAGTTCTTTTAATACAACAAGATTTTAAAAAAAAATAATAATAATTTATTTATCTATTATGTATAAGTATTTATAAAATCTAAAAATCATTAGTTATTAATTCTACTAAAATTTATTATTTAATATTTTGACTAATCTTATTCATCTTTTTATGGGAAATAAAAACATATAATTAATTAATAAATTATAAGTATAATTAATATATTATCATAAGTTTCATTTAAATTTTATTATAATTTTTTTTTTGTTTTAGCACCTAGCATTCTACCCATTTTCCATGTTTCATAAAACAAATCGTTCTATTTTTTATGTTTTTTTTTTGTTTTCAATTTTATTTTCATTATATCATTTTATATTTTGGAATATTTTTTTTTTAATTTTAAATTCATAAAATCATTTTTATATGTGAAAATATTTTATAATATGTGTGAAAACATTTTTTTTGTTAAAAAATAAAAATTAAAATGAAATCATAAATTAATTGAAAATAATAGAAAAAAAAACAGCAAACGAAAAAAAAAAAAACAACAAAAATTTTCTATTTCTATTGTAATCTAGCTATCGCCAAGAGACTGTTCCGATACTGATATGGAACCTCAAGCATCACAAAGCCAAGATTGTGAGCCAACACCGCCACTTCAACGGCATAATTCAAGTAATTTTTATTTACCACAAATTGAAAATAATCCTGGTGGTGCTATAAGCAATGGCGGACAGAATAATGGTACTGGAGGTGGTGGTGGTGGCGGGGATTCACCACGACATATGAGAATATATCACCCAAGACATAGTCCTCATACAAGACCTAGGTAAGGAATTAATTTCTTTATAATTATAATTTTTTGTTTTAAACAACTCAGTAAATTAATAATTTTTTTTTAATTTTTTTAGGGGCTTAGATCCACAACGTGTGTATAATGCAGATGCTCTATCTCCTGATCATCCAACACATCCGAATCAAGTTGGTATGATTATTGGACAAAATCGTACAACGACGGCTACACCAACTATGCAACAAAGAATAAAAGCTTTAGGAGTTGCTACTCCACTTGCAATGTCTAGTCCTGTGAGAAGGTAGATAAAAATAAAAATTAATTATAAAATAATTTTATAAAAAAAATTAGATTATACAAATGCTGTTGGGCAAAAATAATAAGGTTCTTTTAAATTGAAATTTAACTATTAATATTTAACTATTTTTAAATATTTGTTTTTTTTCTTTTTATAAAAACTCGAAATTTAATTAATTTTTATGTGATTTAAATTCTAATACTTAATAAATCTGTTTTTCTTTTCAAAAAATTCTATTGAACTCAAATTCTTTATTGTTTAAATTGTTATTTTATCTATTTGAAAATTTGTATATTATATTGACATCAAGTAATTATTTTTAAAAAATATAAAATGTTTTCATAAATTTGTAATATTATAATTTTTTTATGCAAAATACATTTATATTTTTTTCAATTTCTGAATTTTTATCAATTTATAAAAATATATAAATTTTTAATTTTCATGCATGTACGAATTGAAAAAATATGAAATTAATAGCACAGCTTTGATAAATTTCATTAAGAACAACTTATTTTTAGTGTTATACTTTAATTTGATTTAATTTGTTTGTTTTACTACAAACATAAAATTAAATTAATACATTTACATAAAAATATTATTTAGAAAAATATAAAATTGTCTTGAGTTCCATGATTCTCATGTAATTTGAAATATAAAAATTAAAGTTTAAATTTACATTTTTTGCTTGAATTTAAAAGCAATATAAAGTGCACATTATTGAACACAAAATTACTTAATTTACAATCATAATTATATATTAAATAAATTAATAAAATATTTCAGTATATTATTTGTGCGTTTTTAAGCACTTTATTTAAGATTTATATGAATTATTTATTAAAGAAGTAAATAATATCAAAATATTAAATATGTACCGAAAGAATTTTTTTAAAAGAACCTTAATAAAATAATCTTTTTATACAATTTTTATATTGTATTACTTATTAATTAAATATTAATCTTCAAATTATAATTATAATATTTTCCTCTTAAAAATTTCACTAAAAAATTTCTTTTGAAAATAAAAAATATTTAAAAATTTTTCTTTTTCTAAATTTTCAAAAATTAAAATTAATATTTTTAAGTTTTCTGATTAATACCATGTTATATTTTCTTTTTTTTTCGTATTTATTTATATATATACATTTATTATATTTTAAAATTTGAAAATATATTATAAAAAAATAAAAAACAACCCAGATGGACATAGCTGGAAATTCCTTCTTTAAATATTTTCCTCATTCGGTAATTACTGCAACTTTGAAATTTTGTAATGAGAAAAAAATGAAAATAATTAAAAAAAAAAGCCAAATTTTGTTGAAAAAAATTATAAAATAAAAGATGTAGAATGATTGATTATTAAATTTTTTTATTTTTTACTTAGTTTTTTCCTTTATTTTTTTTAACTTTGTTAACTTTGTCGTATTGTTTGCATTTAATTATTGAAATTTTAATTTTATTGTTTTTAATTTTAAAATGCTAAATTGTTAGTATATTTTTTTTATTTTGTTTTATACGGTTTACAATTATTTATAATTTTATTCTTTATTTAATGTTTTATTTTATTAATTGTCTTTTTAATTATGTTAGTGGCTTGCAAAATTTTTATGAAAAATAGTAAAATGAATATGTAAAACAATAAATATGTAAAAGTAAGGGTAATTTACAATATCTAGGGACGTATTTTAACAATTTTTTTTTTAATCATTAACCAATAATAATTTTATCAAAGTTAATATTAGCAATTATTGCAGTTAATTAAAAGAATCAAATATTTATAACAATATTATTTAAGATTTATTATTTTGTTCTTATCTTTTATTTTAATTATTTAGTTCGTTTTGAAATGGTTGTTTTAACCTCCTCGGTTTTATCTTAAAAAAAATGTGTTAAAAATTCATATATACATAATATATGATTTCAAAATGTATATATAAAAAAAAAAGGCCGCAAGTATAAAAGCAGAAATATTTTATTTCCTGACTTTAAATTTTCAATCCAAAATGATAAAACATGTAAGCTTTAAATTATTAAAATAATATTTTTCTTTTGTTTTAAAAAAATTTGATTTAGAAGCAAAAATGTTTTGCTTTGTAACTTTGTTATATTTAACAAACATGCATATATTTTTTTTTTTGTTTCTCAAAATAAATCACAATATCCATTAAGTCCATTAACAAAAAATGTAAAACAATTAAAAGATAAAGTAATTTTTAACAAATTTTGACGAAATTGTTGATCCATCATAAAATCATAAAAATCGAACAAAATAAATTTATTTAATCTATAATTAGCACCTAAATTGTTTTCTGGGTATAAACAAAGGAAAAAAAACAAACAGACAGACTAAAATCCAATATATTTAAATAAGCTAGAGAATTATTTATTTCGTAATGCCTTAAAACATTAATTTTTTAGTAAAACTATTATAGAAATAGTTGTAGTTTCAATTATTTAAGCTAAAACATCAATCAGATCACAATTTTTACCATCTTTACCATGTTTAGCTATTTTTAAAAAAAAATAATTATGATGAATATAAATATCGTTTTTATGTTGCAGTTTTAAATTTTTCATTTACGGTCACAATTTTCATTCAATGTTAATGTTCTTTAATTTTTATTATATGTAATATTAAAAAAATACGTTTTCATTATATTTAGTTTTTTTTTATATATTTTTAACTTGCAAACAGGTGATTTCGATAATAAACGTCGAAATTAATAAAAGATAAATTAAAATAATTAAAACGCTACAATTTCTTCTTATTTTCTTTTATTAAAAGGTATTTTGAGGCCTCTTAGTGGCCTAGTAAATTAGTTATATAAACAAATAAATTTCATTTTACGGTTACGAGCGAATGTCACCGAATGTTTTCCGAAAATTTATTTACAATTAAACGAAACAAAACTTGTAATCGGGTTATTATTTTTTTGGATAAGCAGTTCTCAATGAAACAGATAGTACATTGTTCCGGCATTTCTTTAATTATAATATAGGAAATATTTCTTTGAAATTTGAAATATTTCTTTGAAATATGAAATATAATACATTAAATAGAATTTATTTAAAAAATTATAAAAATAATGTTTTATTAAATAAATTTCTTTCACTAAAAATTCTAAATTTCTCATGATTTTTCCTTTTTCTATTTAAAAACTCCATAGTTAAGCTAATTTACAGAATTTTTTGCTTAAAATTTTTATTATTTGCGCTGAGCTACCAATGAGTCTTCAGCAACTCTACTGTGCGAAATTGATTTTTATTAGTTAATTTCTTTTAAGTTTTCGTTTCGGTTTTGAGAATATTTCAAAAACAGTGTTTTGAAAAACATAATAACACCAGTTTAAATATTTATATTTGTATGAAAATAAGTGTATTTTATTACATTATTAAAAACTGAATTGCTACTGTCCATAAATTTTTTAGTTTCTTACAAATTATGTACTTAGTGTTTTAACTTATTTTTCTGTTTTCTTTTTAATTTCCTATTCTCATTTCTTTTTTTTTCTTTTGCTAAATGTTTCGATACTTGATGTTTCAAATAAATATGATGAAATTTTCATTTTTCTTTATTTTTTTCTGTTGTTAGTAAGTTTTTAAAGTCTTTGAAGTTTATAGTTAATATATTTTAAATGAATCGAAAAAAAATAATCATTTTTAATTTCTTTTTTAAAGATCAAATCCTGGTACACCTACACAACCGAGACGACCTGATTTTATAGGTGTAATGAACTTAAATCAGCAACAACAGCAACAGCAACAACCTCCACAACAAACGACACAAATTTATTATGAATATCCAACAGGTCTTCCACCACAACATCCGCAAATGCCATTGATACAGCAGCAACAACAACAAATGTTACATCATAACGGTATACCAGGCAGAGGTGGTGGTATTATAATGCAACATCAGCAAACATTACCACAAAATATACCACAATATGGTAGTCCACAACGTAGATTTTTATCTGAAGGTGAATTAGTAAGGCAAGGCAATGAATTGTCATATGCACGAACAAATAACACTGTAGATAATATTAGAGAATTAGCTGGTAGCCCACAGCGTGGTGTTTATATGTGGAAAGATACATCACCTGGTTTTAGTAACAGTAGTAATAATAGCAATCATCAACAAAATACAAGTAGTAGTGCTGGCACTATATTAAATCATCAACCACCACCACAATTTATGATATCAACTGCTGGTGGTGGTCAACAACATCCATTATTATCAAGAGCACCACCACAAATATTAGAATATCAACAACAGCAACAACAACAACAATATGATATACATCATCATAGATCGAATCCAACAAGTCCAACAATAATACAACAACAACAGCAACAACAACCATATATATTGAGATATCCTGGTGGTGTTGCCCCCGGTGGTTTAATAAGTGGAGCACCTGGTCAAGGATTAAATATTAATGCGCAACAATCACAAAATCAATTATTAGGAAATTCATTGTTAGTTAGTGGCAATAACACAAATGGCTGTAATACATCTGTTCAAAATATTGTTACTAGTGTTGGGAGTGGTATTGGAATTTGTACAAATGCAAATAGTAGTAGTAGTAGTAGTAGTGGTGGTGGTAGTGGTTATCAACCAGCATTACGTGGTGGTGTACCAGTTTTCCCTCCAATGCCAATGCAAACCCAACCATCACCACAAATAAAACGTAAACAAACACCAACACGTCCAATGTCATTTGTACGTGCATTAGAAATGACTGATTCAATGGAAATGCAACAAATGGATCAACATCAACATCCGCATCCGCATTCACAACCGCAACAACAATCATCAGCAGATTTATCATCGTCATCTTCATCATCAATAATTAGAAATAATGGTGGTATTGGAATTACCACAACTGGTATATTAAGTAATAGTAATTCAAGCAGTCTAAATAGCTCGCAACAACAATTACAACAATCACAACAGCAAAATCAACAGCAACAACAAGGTAGATCAACAACGCCCACCCCAGATCGAACTAGTGTTTATGATATGAATTATGAAATTTCTGTATAACACGTTTTAATTAAATGTATTAATTAAAAACAGAATACTGAATATAAAAAAAAAATTTAGGCAGCATAGAAATTTTCTTTGTATTACAATAAAAGTACATTAAGTATAAATATAAAATATTTAAAGATTTTTTAATTTAATAAAAATTTGGTAAAAATATAACAAAAAAGAAAATAGAAAATATCTAGGAGAAAGAGGAAAATAATTTTTATAATAAAAAATTAAAAAAATGTTAAATTAAACGTTACCTTTAATATTTTTTTATCCTTTAAAGTAAGCTAGATATTTTCTTTTCATTCATAAAAAACAAACGAGGATCACAATAAAGAACAGATACGTTATTCTAATTTTGAAAAATAAAATTGAACTTATTATGTGCTACAATGAAATACATATATTAAATATATCCAGTATCAATTTCATTGTCAAATCAAATCAAATTGAATCAAAAAATGTTTAAGCATTTGACGAACACAAATCTTTGTTGTAGCACTAATTTTAGAACCAATTACTATTATTAGTTTAGAACAGATTACTATATTGAGTTTTACAATTTTATATACATATACATACATGTATATATTTCAAAAAATTCATGTTCTATTAGGTTTAAAATTTATATTTCCAATTTTACTTTATAATACACATAAACATTTTTTGACAAATTTTTTAAAATTACACTACTTAACATTTATAAATTGATTGTAAAGATTAATATTTAATATTAATGTAATAAATTACAATTTAAAATTTTTTATGTGTTGATTTTTATATAAATTTTTCTTTAAACTACATTTTAATTTATATAATAATATTTATATTAAAAGTTCCTTTACTAACATTTCAAACTTTTCATTAAAAAGAATAATGTATCTAGTATTTATAATATGTTGGACGAAAAATTTGTAAATGTGTGTATATACATTTATAAACAACAATTAAAAAAATATAAAAAAAATTTGAAATGATACGAAATAGTTTAAAAAATCAATAACAACAAAACTTGTACGGAATTTTTTTTTTTTCAAATTTACAAAAAATTATGTATAAAAGTACACAATATTATGATAACGATTATGTAACTATATAATTATAAAAAAAACTTTTTTTAATGTAAATTTTAAATAAAAAAAAAGGAAAAAGAAAACAAAAATTGGATAAATATAATTCCTTATTATAAAAATATAAAAAATATGAAAAAAAGGGAAAAAAAATAAATGAACATATAAAGATAACAATGTCCTATATATATAAACAACAAAACAAAATGTAGATGTTTTAAGTATTGAAAAATTAAAAAAAAAATAAAAAAAAAATATAAATAAATAAATTTATAACAAATTTAAGTGAACAAATTAAGTTTATACTAAACTATTTATCATTAAATTTTAAAATAATAATTTATAATTCCGAAATTAGAAAATTTAGAAAATTAACGCCCATTAAATTATCATATAATATTGAGCATAAAAATCTTTATACAAGATAAAATTATTTAAAATAATTTTTATATTATTAACTCGGTGGAATTTACTATACGATGGAACACGTGAAATAAAAAAAAATGTATGTTCTTAAAATTAAAGTTAATGAAATTAAATACAAATAATGTAAATAATATTATTTTTTATTTTTGTTGCTACCTACATAAATTTCTTCTTGTAATATTTTCTTGTATTTTTTTCAATCCTAAAATTAAAAAATAATATTATTTACATTTTACTTTTATGTAAGTTTTTGATTGTGGCATCATAATATTTTATAATATTTTAATAAATATTATTTCAGCTTCACATTTGGTTATTTTGCATAGTATATTAATTTGAATTACAAAAATTTATATTTAAAGTATTTCTTATTATAAACTGGTACATAGAAAAATAGGTTATTTTTAAAAATATAAAATTTTAAAATTATAAATATAAAAATTTTTTTTTTGTTTTAAGTATCATATGTTTTTGTTCTGTATATGCAAGATTATTATTTGAATTTATTGAAAAGAAAGAAAAATTTTCATTTATTTTTTTTTCTATGTAAATATTCTTATTAATTAATTGTATTTTTACTATTTAAAAAAAAAGTTAATAAATTTATAGTAAATTTTCCATGTTTTGTTTTGAAAAAAAAAAAGTTTCTTGCTTTCTTATTTAATTTTTTTTTTGTTATTTTAGACAATAAGTAAAAGTAAAAGGAATGCAAGGAGTCGAACTAGCAAATTAATTGCTCAAATTTTATCGGCTAGATATTTCTGTGAAAATGGCTAGTTTTTGTAAAATGTAAAAAAGCTTAATGTTCGTAGCACATTTTTTTGATTGCATTACGATTTTGAAAAACAAATTTTTCAATTCAAATATTATTTATTAACTGAATTGAAAATTTGAAGTTTTTTAAGAGTTCGTTTAATAAAGACAAAGAAAATGATAGAAAAAAAAATAAGAACAATTACATATTCGAATTGAGGAAATTCTAGAAAAAAAAAATCTAATTGCGAATATTGATTTGATAAAAAATGTAAGGTATGGAATAAGGTATGTAAAAAATTAATATTTGAATAATTCATTGTTTAGATTTCAATCTTATCGTTTAACATTCCAAAGATACAAAACAACCTTCAGTACAAATGCCATTGTTGCATTTTCACACAAAAATTTGTTTTTATCTCATTTATATTTTATTTTTTTTATACTCATATCGCTTTTTTTAATACGTTTATTAAAAATTTCTTCTTCTTTAATTTTAAATTTTTTTTTGTTTAAATTTCAAATTTTTTATGTGTATTTTAATTAAAGATATTAATACTGCGCTTATACTAATATTTCAAAAACTTATCGTAGTTTAAGTTAATTCATTAAGCTTAAATTTCCAATTAAACAAAGAAGTTATTTTAGTTTTTAATTTGTTTTTTATTTTTGAACTCTTAAAACATTTAGTCTCTTAATATTATTTTAATATTATATATAGTGTTTGTTTAACATAATTTAATGTTATAAAACATTATTAAATTTAACGATTATATAAAAATATTTTATATTTTTGATTAAAAGTACTAAAAAATATTTTATGTTATATTTCTTTGAGTTAATTTAAAAAATAAATGGCTCCCCCAAAAATCACGTTAATTATTTAAAAAAACTTAAAAAAAATTGTACCACAGAAATCTTATATTTTCTAATTTCGGAATATATAATTTATTTATTAATATATATTTATATTATATGTATATTTATTTAAATATATATTCATGTAAACTAACATCTGCATTTAAATTTCTAGAAAATAATAAACTTTAGATAACTATATTATTTAATATATAATTAATATACATATATAAATATACAAAAGCATACATATATAATAGTTTTTATACCAAAATTAATGTAGAATGAAAACAAAAAGAAATTATCATTAAACTTATATTTAGAAAAACAAATTATGTACATGAAATTGAAATAAGAAAGATTTTTTTTTTACGTAAATATTTAAGAACAATTAAAAAAAAAAAAACAAAAAAAAAATTAATGTTAAAAAAATTAATAAAAATAATAAAGTAGAATTTTATCCTTAAATATGATATTTATATAATATTATGTTAAATTTTCAACATTATGAAGTTGAATGTTATTTATTTTCGTAATTTAATATTATATTGAACTATATTTAATTTTCTAATTTTTAAAATCTAAAATTTTGTTTTTACGACCATTTACTAAATATTATATTTAAGGATAAAATTTTAAAATTTGAATTAATGTCAACACATAAATTTTACAATTCGATAATATTATAAAATTTTGAAAGTTAATATGGTGCAGAAAAGGGTTTTAATTTACCTAAAAGTGCGGGAAAGCTAAACATTTTTAAAAACCGAAAAATGAAATATATTTAAAAAGAAATTGTATGTTAAATATTTATATTAAGCTTTTATTGTGAATGTTATTTAATTAAAATGAAAACAAGTAAAAGAAAAAAGAATTGAAATCATTGGAAAAAAAATTGTTTATAAAAGAAGGACGACGTAAATAGTTTTTTTTTTTTGGTTTTGCAAAGAAAATCAAATTTTGTACAAGCAGAAAATCAGTTTTTGTATTAAAATAGTAACGAAACAATTCAAAAAAAATTACTGAAAAGTTACTGAATCGTTTAATTGTTTAATTTCTTAGATCTATATACTTTCAATTATGATTGATATTTACAAATTTTAAAACATAAAATTAATTCTATAATGTTATTATATGAAATAAATATTTTATGGATCTTAATTAAGTTCAAAGTGAAAATTGTTTTAAATTCAAAACAAGAAATGGAATTTAAATTTTTTTCTAAGTGCTCATTTCATTTTAATTGATCTCGTCTGCGAAAATTATTTTTAAAGACAATAAAATTCAAAAATTTTATTTCACTTTTGAGTTTAAAACAATTTTCTAAAAAATTATTCGTTGATGAATATACATAGTGCTCAGTACTCTCAATCTTGTTTTAAATTTTCAAAATATAATATTTTAATAATTTAAATATACGAACAATACTTTAATTCATCAAAAACATTTTCAGTAAATAAAAATTTCATTTCTTTACAAAAACAAAAAAAAAAATCAAATCGTCCAAATAAAAAAAGAAATTAAATAATGAAACGGAAATATTAATAAATTGGGGACAAATTGTAAAAAAAAAAAATAAGTAAGGACGCCTAAATAAACTTTAATTTTTTTTTTATTGTATAGATTAGAATTTTAAATATTTTTATAGTAAAAGTTACAAAAATATTATAAAAAAAAATTAAAAAAAAAGTATGTAAAAATATTTTATAAAAATTTGTTGATTTAATTTTATTAGTACATTTTTTGTTTATATTTTTTTTTTTTCTGCTCCCAAAAAATATTTTTATTATTTTTGAGGGCTTAAAGAACATTAATTTAATGTACACTAATTTTAATTAATGTATTTGTATAAAATTAATTTATTAAATAAATATTTGTAAATTGATATTAAAACTGGATGTTTTGTAAGTTATTTTTTCTCAATATTTTCAAAATTCCTGCTTTTGTGACAGATTAAAAATAAAACATTTATTACAGATTTACATTTGTAGAAAATCTATAGAATATCAATGTAATTTATTAGAATCTTTTATTTTATTTTAAAAATATCAAGTTAAAATTCGAAGTATTAAGGCTGTGATGGCATAGAGAGACAATAATCCCATCAGGAAATTAGCGTTTAAATCCCATCTGGAATTAAGGTTGATGTCTCTCACATGATTAATAGGTATCGTAGAGTTTTTCAATCATTTTAATATGATTTTTATATGTAATTTAGCTTGATAATTTTTAATCCACTTGCAAATATAATATATAATATATGTCTTTATATCATATATTTTGTTAATGATATCCTCTTTATTAATAAAAATATGCATTAACGTATTTATTATTTTTTTTATAAAAATACATTAATTAAAAATTGGGTTTTTTATTTTTTTCGTAAAATATCGTAGTCCACAAGATTACACATTTATTTTTAAAACTGATTATTAAATTAATTTTTTTTTACAACATATAAAGGTGTAAATAATTAGAGAAGATTTGATGAGAAAATCAATTGAATATTTATATTTAATCAATTGGTATGGTAAAACTGAATTAGAAATAAATGGAAATAAAAATTTGGAAAACA